TGTATGCACGCGCGCCTTCCTCTGACTCGCTGCTGACTCGCGCGCCCACCTCTCTGCAGCTTCGAGAGCGTGGTGACCAAAGAGCTGTGCACGGCCGCGCTCATCGCGGACGGGCACAACGGCGACGCGGCCTCCACCGTCGCCCAGGAGTTCCTCCTCCATGCGATCTCCGCGAGGCTGGACCGCGCAGACGAGGCCGCCTCGCCGGGGACCGATGATGGGCGGAGAGATGCCGCGGGCGCCTCGGGAGCAGTATGACTAGGGACGGGCGAGGGAGGAGGGGCGCTGACCACGGCCGACTACGAGTCGAAGGTTGGAGGACGACTACTCGCCGCCTGGGTCGTTTGGGGCGCGCGGCTCCGTCGAGGACCGGGCGCGCCCCTTACCCGGCGCGGCGTAGGTCCCACTCTGACGAAAAGAGGGGAGGCACGGTCGACAGCCCGATCCATCAACTACTCTCATCTTCTGGGGCTTGGCCCCGTGCAACAGCGGTCCGGCAGGCTGCCCCCAAGGCCCCCCGGGCCGCTGCGGGTTTGGGAGTTATGCTTAGGCACAGCTTCGGCGATGGCAGCCCCTCTCTGGGGTGTTGCATAGGCGGGGAGTCTCCCCCGCTGGTCTCCTCCTTCCCATTTTTTCTTTTTCTTTTGAGAGCAGGACGCCGGGTTTGTCTTGTATGTGCATGTCGGGCCTGGGTGTGTGTGAGGGGCAGAGGGGCGGGAGCGTGCGGGGCAGGGGCCCATCGTCGGGCGGCTTGTCGGGGTCCGGAGCATTCGAGGGGGGAACGAGGAGGGGAGAACGGGAGGTCGGCGTCGGAGTAGCAGGCCGCAGGGCGTACGGGGTAGCCGTCACTTTCCTGCCTCACAAGGGCGGGGCTGTCCCGGAAAGTGAGAAACGCCGGGCAGCGTGGCGCATTACTGAACCCTCCCATACGTGTTTGGGCTTCCTCCTTTGCCGTCCCGTCTCCTCATCTCTTTCCCGCCTGGGCGGGGCGGTGGGCGGGCGCGCGGTGCGGCGTGGCGTGTGCGTGTGTGCGACCGCAACGACGGACCGCTCGCAGAGGACCATTGGGTTTGTACTATTAACAACGAAGGCGCTCTCAAAACAAAATGGACTTCAGCTGGCTGGCTGGCTTGATGCCGTCGGCATCAAACGACGAGCAGCACAGTCCACAAACAGCATGCAAGTGAGAATACGCAGCGGCATGTCGCGGTGCAGCAGCAGTGAGTGCTCGTCGCTCGGAGCCTCCTCGCCGACCTCGGTGTGCTCGGTCGACGAGGAGGATCTGCCAACCTTCCTCCTCTCCAACCTGGCGGTCGCTCATCCAGAGACGCCGATCCGGCGGCCCCGAGTGATCCGCCCCCCGCCAGTGGAGCCGCGTCGACCTACGCTAACAACACGGATGACCTTCCAGCAGCGACTTCGCGAGTGCCCCACCCAGACGATCGTCACTGCCCTTGACGCCACAGGAGTCTCAACCGATGGCAGCAGCTCCGAGCGACTTCGCCGGCTGACCTGGTGCTTTAAGCTCTACGAGCCACGAGACGTGTTGGAGAGGTGGTCGGTGGAGACGCTCCGCGTGGTGGCAGGGATGGCAGAGGCGGACAAGGCATCGTGCATAAGCAGTTTGCTGGGGCAATTCTTCTCCTTTGACTGAGGGCAGGCCGGCCCCTCCTCGGCCAGAACTTGCTTCTCGCAATGCTCGGGATTAAAGCAGCCCACGCCTATCCGTAAAGAGCCTACCGACGAGCGGCGCCATCCCGCCACCAGGGCGCTACGAAACACCGATCGTGCGCTACTGCCGAGGGATTGCGTGCAGGGCAGGCGGTGGCGCCTCTGGTGCGAACTACCACCGGCGAGTCGGGAGGGCCCGACAGTTAGTAAGTTAGGGGTCGGGGAGCGAGAGAGTAGGACCCTCCGGGCACATGGGGCCTGGGGAGGGAGGGCGCAGCCGACTGGGCTAGAGGCGCGAGGGGCGAGAGGCGGGCAGACGCTGCAGTAGTAGCTAGTACACTCTAGTTACCGTAGCTGGTAGTATGTGTGGAGAGAGGGCTCGCGCTTTAGGGCTCTCTCGTGGAGTGTGCCACGTGATACTGTCGAGTGTGTGTCTGGCACTGCCACTGGTGTCGTGGACGTGGTGTGTGCCCGGCTCCGCTGGAGTCCTTTATCTGAGAGGTGTCGCGCCACCTCGCCTGGTATCGGCTGGGTCGCGGCCTCTGTCGGGGCCGGTCTCGGGTCTGCCTTAAACAGATCGTGTACCATTGCTAGGCCTCCGCTCCACTAAAGCTACGAGGCTACGTATCGCACTCTCACGTACCGCAGACACAGTCCGAGACCCGCCGTCGAACGCGGCTCGGCGAACTCCTTTGTGCAACGAACTCCCCTCCCCCCTCCCGGCCTGTCACCCACAGATACCAAGCTCTCAAGATCGCACAATCGAGGGCGGAGACATGCCCCGCCCCCGCCCCCCAAGCCCCCTTCCCCGCTGCCCCTCCT